ATCTCCCTGGCAAAAGCTCCTTCATTCCGCACCTGTAGCTGCGTCATCTTCACCAGGTGCAGTCATTACCCATCCCACCTGCTGCCCCAGGGCGCTGCTCTGGGAATCCTGAGCATTTGGCAGTAATCCCGACCCCTGGAGTAATTCAGTAAGGTTTGAATGAATGGACAGGTAAAGTGAAGAGAGAAAGTCTTTCCAAGCAGAGACAACAGCATGTGCAAAGGTGTGGCTATGCAATAGTAAGCCTGAGTAGACGGGCAGGCTTAATGAATGGGTATTTGAAAAAGAGGTTTGGATAAACTAGTAGGGAGGCAGAAAAGGGGTCTCCAGGTGGCCCAGAAAGCCAGGTGGAGTAGGAAGGTTATTAAGGTAGTGGGAAGCGACTGAAGGCTTGATAGAAAAAAAATTGATGAGAGCGGCTCTTTGGAAAAATGTGTGGGCAATGAGACATGGACACTTTCTGTTTGCTCGCTTGTTTTATACCACAGAACTTTTACTTTTTAATGTAGTCCAACTGATCACACTTTTTGTCATTCGTACTTCTGATATCATATCTAAGAAACCATCACCTAACCCAAAGTCAGGAAAATCTACTCCTATGTTCTCTTCTGAGACTTTTATACTTTCAGCTCTTGCACTTAGGTCTGTGATCCATTTTGAATCTGTGTTTACATATGGTATGAGGCAGGGTGCCACCTTTAATTTTTTGCGGGTAGCTATCCCAGTGTCCTGGCACCATTTGTTAAAAAGAGTATTCTTTCTCCATTGAATTATGTTTGTGCTCTCACACCCCTTTTTATCTCTCCCTACCACTTGTCTTATTTTTCTTACCCCATCCCCAAACAATCACTAACGTGTTTTCTGCTGCTCTGTATACTAGTTTGCCTTTTCTAAACAGAATGCATTCTTTTTTGTTTGATGTTTTTCATTCAATGTTGTTCCATGTTGTTGCATAGTTTCAATAGTTCCTTCTTTTATTCCATTTTCTATCCCATTGTATGACTATACCACCTTTTTAAAAAGTTCTGTGAGCATTTTGTACATACTTTTGTATGGACATACACTTTTTTAGTCTTGGGTAAATGCCAAGGAGGGGAATGGCTGGCTCAAATAGGAGGCATGCATGTAACTTTTTAAGGACACATCAAACTGTCTCCAAAGTGACGGTGCCATTTTACAGTCCCATCAGCGATGCGTGTTTTTATGATGATGATATAGCTAACCCAGACCCTGGTTTTGGATGTTATAAAGCTGAGAAGGAAGACGAATGAACCTACTGGAGTTGGGGTCCGGTGAACCTTGGGGCTTGGAACAACAAGCTGAAGTTGTATAGAAAAAACTACAAAGCTCTTAGGATTTGGGGCCTGACCACTGCACAGGATGTGGGCAGCAGAGCCCAATAGCACATAGAAAAGGTACAGAGGTTTTGGTTGATGGAAAGCTCAACTAAATAAAGCTGGGTCACTAGGGCTTCTCAAAGTGCTCGTGCAGCCTGCAGCTGCATCAATAAAGGTCACTGTCACTGTCAAGATTGGGGCTGGTGATAATCTTGATCTCCCCCGTGAGGGTCAGGTTTACAGTCGTCTACCGATGTTCACTCTTTAATGGGGGGATGGAGAAATGGGGACCTACCTGGAGGAAACTGAACGGAACGGTGGAGGAGAAAACCATGTCCTATGTGAAGCTACTTGTGATACCCATGTTTGTTAGTTTATTTACTCATTCATGCAACGAATCATTTTAGGTTTCTTACATGCAAGGCATGGTCCTAAGGGATAGGGCATAATGACTACAACATGATGCGGGTTCTAGCGATGGTCTCCATAATGGTGTGGAGTTGCCCAATTATCCAAAAGAGGTCTGGGAAGGCCTCCCTGGAGAGGTGAGTTTTGAGTTGAGTCTTGATGGACAAATAGGAGTTTGACAGGTAAAAATGAGGGGAAAGGGTTTTCCAGCCTGGAAGATTACATGCCCCCAGTCACTAGGCAGTAAACTTCAGGCAGGTAATGTGTATTTTTTCACAGTTTTGAGTATTACCCAGTATGCTGCCTGACCCATAACCCATTTCGTTCAATCTCTCAGATTAAGTAAAATAACATGCCTCCCTGGACAGTCTACACGTTATTAAGAGAGACTGAGATACCAGCTGTATGTGTTTGGATGGTGGGGACACAGCATGCAGGGCTTGCTGTGTTTGGATGGGGGATCTTGTCTCTCCTCTGTACATTCAGGATTCTTAATTGGACTGCCTTGGATTTTGTGCCCAAGTCTGAAGCAGTTACGGAAGGGAGGGGAGTCACTCAGACAGCCAGGTATGGGGCGTGTGTCAGCTCCCGGCCGGTCATCATCTCTGGAGGAAATCAGGGCTCTGACTGGCAAGGCCTGGGTCACGTGTCCAGTCTGGAGCTAGTGGTAGCATCTCAGCCGAACCATCTGGACTACGTGTGAGGGAGTGCTAGTTGTCAAAGCGCAAGAGCTGTTCCCAGAAGCTGGAACGGGTGTTCTAGCTAGAGAGAATTATCCACTACATCCACAGAGGACAAAAGTAGGGTCAGTGAGTAAGTAGATACTGTTGCTGGCTGGCTGTATTTCTGCTACAAGACAAAGATCTTTCTGTGACATATGGGCATAAAAGAGACCAGGTGTGGGTGGTGACTTGGCTGTCTGTGGGGGTGTCCAAGCAGCCACTGGGGATAGATGCCAACAGCCCATCAGCACCACGGGGTTGAAACAGGTAACCTCTAAGGCCACGTTTTTCAGACTATTTCTCTGTGACAGCGATGAATACATTTTTACATTAAAGTCCAGAATACCCTTATACTTGTATACAAAACTACAAATGGAAGTTTGATGTAGTACTTATATGTTTTACGACTTGATGGGTTCATATTTTCTGTTTCATTTTATTCTCCTTAAAAATTCTTGCTGTGTGCAAGCCACACCATTGTTTTTGTGTCCCGCTGATGAGTTTCCACCCGCAGTTTGTGCAACCCTGTTCCAAGGTCAGAAATCTTAGACAGACTAGGCCTGATGATGGCTCTTGAGTCTGGCTTTCCTTCACAGTGGTGGCATAGGTCAAAAATGTGGACGCCAAAAAATAAAAAAAGGATAGAAAAAAAAAGTGTGGGAGCAAACCTGTTCTACTTGCGAAAGGTCGTGATTCTAAGTGGTGGAACCCCCTGCAGTCTGTCACTGCAGCCCCTGCCCCGTCAGGGTGGAGTGGCCCTTGCCAGGCCTGACAGCAGTGTTGGGGACAGTTTACGGGCTGGCCATGGGCCAGGGGATCACAGAGGTGTCTTGGCAGTCTGTCTGTCTGGGAGCTGGCAGCAGCTCCTCCTGTGCCAGCGGAAGTTTATGTTGTGAAGCCGAATGTTTGTGGCCCTGCTAGGCCTTTATATTGAAGGTGAGGGAGTGGCTTTTAAAAAGAACATATTTTTGACTTGAAACAAGTCAGGGCAGAGAATAAGACAATTAGAGACTGACATCCTGTTTAGTCATCTCTCCAGAGAGCTCTATTTTCAGAACTGTTCTATAAAGGTTCACGCATGGTATTAAGACAGTTAAGTTGGGGGTGGTATAGTTAAATTAGCAGTAGTTGTAATGCAAGTAGCTGATTTGAACACCGGGTGATTTACAGGGTGGTAACCACATTGATGCAGATTATATGCAGAGAAAGGGAGGGTTTATAAGAGTAACCTGCTGTATAGGTAATGTTTTCTCAGTACAAAATAGGCATTTTTTTATTATATGATCAGCATGTGATGGTAAGGTCAATGCATTTTTTTTTCAGTCTTTGTCAGCTATAAGTACAGTAAACGAAACTGCTAATGCTCTTTGAGATCGTTTGATGGCAGCCATGTCAGAAATGCTGAATAATGACATCGTGGACTTTCAGATGACAACAGTGAAGCCTAGGCTGGTTAAGAACCTTGCCCAGAGCCACCTGTGGCAGTCAGGCTCAAGTCTATGTCATGGTCTAGTTCAGGCTCCTTCTGCCATACCATGTGATTAGCAGCTTATTTAAATTTAATATGCCAAACTCCTCTCTCTCTCTCTCTCTCAGATGACAGGCTAACAGCAGAAATGGGCTGTCAGGTAAAATCTTGAAGATTTTTACTTAAAGACAATTGCAAATTTATGTATTGGGGTCCAAAAGAATCTTACAATCCAAGACTTAAGAGGATTCATGGGTAGTTCAAGAATAGCACCAGCATGAAGAGGGCAGAGCCCGCCTATCCAGTCTCGTGTGATCAGGCAGATGGGCACGGCACTGCCCCATCCTGGGGCCATGCTGCGAGAAAGTCTTTGGGAAGCTGGCGCACGTTTAGAGGATGGGACCTACTGAGAGGTCTTCAAGCTGCCACATTTGCAGAACATATGTCTGGATGTCTCAGCTCAGCTTATCTTATAAGATAAGGACTTATAGTAACGTTGATAACTCCTGTGAATGGTAGTGAATGCAAAGCACCTGAACTGCCTTCCCTGGTGTTTTCCAGAGGTTACCTACACTTAGGTGGAAATGGTATAGATAGCCTCCCTCCCCATTTTCCTTCCTAGAAACTAAAGGTTTGCAGTTGACCTTGATAGGAGTTTGTTCATTCATTACCTTATATGTTTCCATTACATCTCTATTCCAAATACTTAGCACGTAGTTTAATAAAATGCTACTCTTATGAGTAGCGTGCAGAAAATAGGGACATCTCAAAAACAATGACCACATTTATGGGTGCTTCTTGATACTGTCAAGAGTCAAAATGTAAGAAAACAAAATTCAAGAGAAGAGAAGCATTGAAAGAACTGTTACTTTCAGATTTGTCTGTCAACCTTTATGATTGCTTGTGTTTTCACTTGCTTTTTGCCTCTTCACTATTTGATGAGAGACTTAGATCTGATGTATGGTTGTGATTTCTGCATTTAGCCCTATCTGTAAGAATATACAGATAATTATATTTAAGTACTTTAAAATTAGAATGTAACATACATTTTTTCTTTCTTTCTAGGTGGATCTGGAGCCAGAAGGGAAAGTGTTTGTAGTAATAACCCTCACAGGGAGTTTCACTGAAGGTAAGAATGAGTTTTGCATGGTTTCTGGTATCCGTGTATCTTGGTTCATACTCAGTAAGAATTTCTAGCATGGAAAGTATAAAAAGAGCATTTTGTAAAAGATGCTTTTAAAAAATTCACTGTTCTAAATTTAGACTGGCAGGTATTTTGTTGCTAATGGTCTTTTGGTTTGGTTTGCTAGATTAAATATATTTGCTAAATCTGGCGATCACATGTTTTATATAACTAACTGAGTTTTGTTTTTATACATCACCACCTTAGCTGAATTGGTTCTTGCCTGTTTTACTTCATTGAATTTCTATATATTTTTCTTTTGGGGCTAACTTTTCAGTTGGCCCTGAATGTGTTAAAAATTTAAAGATTGAGTTTTTTCCTAATAGCCTTATATCTCATTCTGTCCTTTAAGTGGTTCTATTTCTTTTCCCTTGGTATCACCCCCCAACTCTCCCCATTTTTTAAAAAAAAATTGAGGCCAAATTTATAGAGAGTTCACCCTTACAGCACAGGAGTTAGGGGTGTCGACCCCCTCTCTCCCATCGTCAGAAAATTTGTGTATAACTTGACTCTACAGTGATGTGAACAGATCAGAAGAGTTTGAGTTTTGACAAATACTACAACCTTGTAACCAGCATCCCAATAAGCACATGAAAAAATGTTTAACATCAGGGAAATGCAAATTAAAACCACAAAGTAACATTTTATACTTACCAGAATGCCTAAACTTAAAGAGATTGACCATACCAAATGTTGGTGAGAATGTGGAGTGATTGGAACTCTCCTACGTTGCTGGGGGGAGTATAAGAAAACAACCACTTTGGAAAACCACCTGAGAGTTTATTACACAGATATATATATATATTCTATTACCCAACAATTTTACTACTAGGTATTTGCCCAATAGAGATAAAAATGTATGTCCACAAAATGCATGTACAGGAATGATTTTTAAGTATATTTTATTGATTATACTATTACAGTTGTGCAATTTTTTTCTCCTCTCTGTCCTCCTCCTCCCTGCATCACCCCATTCACTCTTCAGCATTCCCCTGCTTTCTGCCACAGTTCATGGGCATGGGTCATACATATAAGTTCTTTGGCTTCTCCATTTCCTGTACTATTCTTAACCTTCCCCTGTCTAGTCTGTGCCTGCCTATTCTGCTTCTTATTTCTGTACAGAAATGTTTGTAGAATTATTATTCATAATACTCAAAACCAGGGAAAATTCCAGTGTCCATCAAGAGAAGAATGGGTAAACAAATTGTTTTACATTTTTGTAACAGAAGGAATATTGAGCAATACAAAGAAATAGCATACTGATAAACAAAATGATGTGAATGGGTCTCAGGGAAATGATACTGAGGGGAAGAGTGAGACACAGAAGGGAATGTACCATGTACATAAACTATCTGAATAGACAAAAATAATCCGTGGTGAGAAAACAAACCCAAACATTACTTTTATTGCCTCTAGCAGCAAGGGACTGACTGGGAAAGGACACAAGAGAACTTTCAGAGAGATGGAAATTTCATTTTGAATTGGTTGTTACCAGTGCAATATATAGAAATGAAATTTTTTGTATATTGACTTTGTATTCTGCAACCTTAATAAATTAATCTATTAGTTCTAGTGTTTTTATTTTGTAGATATCTTAGGATTGTCTCTGTAAATAATCTTGTTGTCTGTAAGTAAAGTTTTCCTTTTCTAATATTTATGGCTTTTTAAATTGTTGTTGAATTTCAGTTGTCCTTATTTTCCCCCATTAGTCTCCCTGCCCTACCCATCCCACCTCCCACATTCAATCCTTCCATCCTCCCCCCATTGTCTTTGTCCATGGGTCCTTTATACATGTTCCTTGATCACCCTTCCCCTTCTTTGCCCCATTATCCCCTACCCTCTGGTTGCTGTCAGTTCTTTATTTCCATGTCTCTATTTATATTTTGCTTGCTTTTTTGTTTTGTTGATTAGATTCCACTTACAGGTGAGATGATACAGTATTTGTCTTTCACCACCTGGCTTATTTCACTTAGCATAATGTTCTACAATTTCATTCATGCTCTCGCAAAGGGTAGGAGTTCCTTCTTCCTTTCTGCTGTGTAGTATTCCATTGTGTAAGTGTATCACAGTAATATTTATGGCTTTTGAAAGCCATAAATTTCTTTCATTTCTTGTTGTGGTCAGAGGCTTACAGGACAGATCTTCTGTCTTATACCCAATCTTGGGAGGAAGGAATTTATTCTCTTCCCACTAAGGATGTCAGCTGTGTGCACTTTGTAACTGCCCTTTATCACAATTGAGGAAGTTCCTTTCTAGCCCTAGTTTTCTGATAGTTTTCTTTTTTAATTAAGAGTGATAAATTTTGGCAAATGGTTTTTCTTTGATCTGTTGAGATGATTCTGTAGTTTCTGTTAGTTCTTCATTTTCTAGCAGGCAGCCACGTTACTGGCTAATTACTTTAAAATTGTGATGGCTTTTTAGGGTGTGATTTTTAATTTTTAATTTGTTCCATAGTTCTTTGGCAAGTTCCATAGTCCTGGGACAGTCTTTATTCATAAGGCAGTGGCACTCTGGGCCTTCAGTGGAAGGCTGGGCTTGCACATGGGAAACAGCTGACATCTCAAGTAGTTTTCAGGGCTCTAGCTCCCGCTTTTCCCTGGACATCTCCAAGCCTCCCCTACACTGTATGGTTTAGGAGGGCCACACACTTGAGGACTTCATGGGCTTGGGAATTGCTTTCTCTGTTGCCCCATCCTTTCAAAATTTTCTGTTCAATTCCAGTCAGCTGGCAGTCCTGAATCTTGTCATTTCACTCTTCAAGCCAACAAAGAGCTAGCTTTCTGTGTGAGGTCTCTTCACCCTGCCCCGTACAGCCTGAAATAATCTTGGGAAGTGGCCTATAAACATGGATTTTTAAATTAAACGTATTGGGGTAACCTTGGCTAATAACATGCAGATTTCAGATGTACGGCTCCAGAGTGCAACATCCGTACACTTGGCTGTATCTCATTGCCCAAAGCCTCGTCTGCTTCTATCACCAGACATTCAACATCCTTTTACCCTCTTCTTCCTCCCTCTGCCCCCTTCTCCTCTAGTCACTAGCATTATGTTGCCTGCATCTTTGAGTTTCCTTTTTGTTTGTTGGTTTGTTGCTTTTGGTTTTATGTTCCACATGTGAGTGAATACGGTTTTTGCCCTTTTCCATCTCACTTATTTCACCCAGCAAAATACTCTCACAATTCATATCTTGCCCAATGCAGTTCCCTTCAACTGCCAGATTTCCTCTCATTTCTGCTTCTTTGGTTACCCTTCAGTATTTTGAACTAATTATTTTCAAATATATTTTCTAGAGATTTTAGGGGTTTTGTGGCTGTTGTAAGGTTAGTCCATTATATGCTACTCCATCATTACTAAAATCCTTGTGAAGATTTTTAAACATGTGACTTCATGGTTTGACTGTTTGGTGTTGACTTTTGTAATTGATGACATCTTGAGAAATGGTCTTCTCTCCTCAGCCAAACGTTCATATTCATATAAGTGAATCATTTTAATGGTAACATTTTTCTATCTGTTGTCTCAATTGTTTTTTTAAATATATTTTATTGATTATGCTATTACAGTTCTATTTCTCCCCCTTCATTCCCCTCCACCCTGCACACCCCTCCCCCACCATTCCCCCCTTTAGTTTATGACCATGTGTCTCAAGTTCTTTAGATTCTATATCTCCCCTACTATTCTTGCCCTCCCCCCTATTTTCTACCTAATGTCTATGCTACTTATTTTCTGTACCTTCTTCCCCCCTTCTCCTTCTCCCACTCCCCTGTTGCTAATCAGTTGTTGCATATGATCTTATTGCCTCATAATGAAATGAGCAGAAACCTGGATACTTGAACATAAATAACTATCCACATTAGAGTTTGGGAGTCTTCTGCCTACACATAGGTCTTTGTGTTCTGCTTAGGATCTTGTACATAACAGAATTTGTGAGAAAAACGAGAGTGCTCATAGCTTAGCTGAATAAAATGCAATGCAGTAGCAAAGAACACTGGTGATAGAACATTCTCGCAGCACATGGAACGCGGGTACAGTCATGGCATGGACAAGCCCAGCAGTGAGACAGGCACGAGGTGGGGTGAGATCCTAGGTGTGCTGAGGTATCTTTCCACATCCTGTTCCAAGGCCCCGATGGAGGGAGGCCACGCAGGGCAGACTGGGTCTGGTTGTGCCACTGTCATCACACGGCTTCTTTTTTCAGAGCCACCCCAGCTTTCTAGGACCATTTTGTTTAGGTATCTCTTCCTTAATTGGACACTAGAAACAGCAGAACACTGGCACCGGGGTACTCCTGGGTTTCTCATTGTATTCATTTATTAGTTTGAGTGATCAGAAGAAAGGAATTTCAAATGATATTAGGGGTGAGTTCTTACCAGGTCATTGAACTCGTGTTTTTTCCAGACATGACCCTGGATAAAAATTATGAGGCAGGCCAAGTTTATCTGTGGTAATTCCCCTGCCTGTTTGAGTCCGTTTTTCCTGCTCTCTGCCTTTAGTTGTCTCTTATTTCACTAAGATGCTTAGTGATCTCTCTCCAGGAACAGTTACTGATAAGGAGGGTAGTGAATTCATAGGCCGATTCATACTGAAGTGATAGTGATTGCTATCTTAGCACTCTACCCCTCTGAGGTGTGTCTGCAGATTTTAAAAGATGTTAAATGAGCTGTTTGACCTATGAGAAATAGATTTTTTAATGTTAAGATTTCAGGAGCGAACAGCATCTACCTGTGGGATATGTTTTAGAAACCTCAGCTCTGTGAGAGCTTTTATCTGTGGGATGTATTTTAGAACCTAAGATCTCTGTGGGGGCTTTATCTTGTCAGTTTGGCTCCTAGGCTGAGGCTCAGCTCGAGGTTGCACATTGCTGCTGCCTTAGAGCACAGCTTTCTTGTCAAAAACAGAGGACGTGATGGCTGCCTCTCCAACACACCTGCCACAGTTGTGGCAGCAGC